CACAATCTTTAGTGAGAGTTCGTCACCATCAATGCTGACCTCGAGGCAGCAAAGATAATCTATCAAGCACTCCAGGAAGTCCATGGAGAAGGCATGGTCATGGAGATTAATGTAGCTTCCCTCACAAGACAGCTTAGCATGATGGGCATTTGTCGCTCAAGAGGTGGCTAGACCAACAAAGGCGAACAAGAAGAATGAGTGGCGGCTAGGCCACTTGGTTATGTTTCCTTTTCCATTTATATTTAACGGTATAGATATATCATCATTATCCTTATATGCAAGAGCAACATGCGAATATAAATAAAAAATGATATTTTTTTAACATTCATTTCTTTGTGATTGTGCATAGTAACATCGAATTCGAGGTACGATTGACGAGATCGAGGCCTGGGGGCACATAAATTTAAGGGTGTTATTAGAGACGTTTCGCTCGTATAACTACCACAATCATTTTCCCACCTAAAGTCAAGGGTGATGTCAGGGATGCTTTGCACGTTTCAATATAGTAATCACTTCCCCACCTAAAGTTAAGAGTGTTATCAGAGACGCTTTGCACATCCGACTATAACAATCACTTCCCCACCAAAAGTCAGGGGTGCTGTCAGAGACGCTTTGCAAGTCTGAATACAATAATCAATCCCCATAGACAATAACGGTCCACCCCATTTAGAAGTTAGACACTCTAGAGGCTGCAGGGGGGATGGCCACACATATACCCCATACTGAGTTTTCGTCTAGTGGGGGGAAAGGGAACCAACCCTTGGTCGGGAATAAACCCAGTAACGTCTAATAAGATTTGAGGGAATACCTCATCAGTTCACATAAGATTTGAAGTCTTGTACTCGGGATCATACAAATATACATCTAGAGCCTCACACTTAGGATTACACAAAATACACCTTAAACAGGTAAAAAAGATTTCATTCCCAAAACGAAAATACTTTTACATACATTCTTCCATTACATCAGTACTATAAATACAATACATAAAAAAGGCTAGCATGGCTATTCCAGCAAAGAAACAATCTCTTCACCTTTGAGCATTTTGATTTGCCTGAATTTTCTCTCAATCAAAGGACAATGAAAATGATCCACTTGCTACAAAGCATTCTCCAATGACTGTGAAACTTCATCAAGGTTGGAAATCATACAGTCGATCAACTGCTGAGTCAAAAAGCATTCTAAAGGCACAAATACTTTAATTCCCCATGAGAAAATGATAAACTATCCCAAATAGAAGTCAGAGCCTGATTCTTTCTCGCCATAGTCTTCACTAAGTGGAGCACCTGGTCAGAGAGGGAACCAACTAGTTTAAGAGGAAGCAACACATTCTCTTCTAGCCATTTCTTTTCACCACGATGCTGGTCAGACCAAAGAGATTCCCAACGGTTAGCTCCGCCAAGGGCTAAAGCAATATAAGCATTCCAGCTATACTGAGCTATAGTAGCCAGTTCTTCCTTCATGGCATACCCGAACAAATTGGTCAGATATACGCAATCCTCTTCCAAAGGAGGAGTTCGACGATGTCTTAAGGAATGAGAGCTCAACCTCATCAGTAACGGATGGGCAAAAAGACCTGCCATATTCAATAGCATCACAAGCATATTCAAATCAACTTCACTCCCTGCTGGCCATATCCGCTACTTTATGAGTCAAATTTGTACTTCATCTTTCATCCATTATGCACATAATCAAGTGACAGAATAAACACATCATGAATAGACATGTTAAAGTAAAAAAAAGTCAAAAGTTTCCATAGCTTACCAAAGATAACTTTTCTTTCTTCCTAACAGGTCTCCACAAGCAATTGAACATCAATGAGGAGTTGCAAATGTATCTTGTTGACCTCGTATGTGGGGGTACCTCACCTAAAGTAACCCAAGTCAATGATGAAACTCACCACACATTTCTTTTTCTTATGTACATACATAATATTCCCTATAAGAAAGTGACTCTCAGTCCAATACTTAGGAAACAACTTGGCACATCGTCCCTCCGTTCCATCTCCAAAGGTGTGAATCGTGGCATGAGCTTTTAGGGCCGATGGGGGTGACAAAAAAGAATCGGTCTTCAAAATACTATAGCTCGGAAAGAGGTCCAAAGCCATGCACAATCGACTCCAAAGAAATTAACCCCCTGCTACACCTTTGAGCCACAGGACTAAGGCAAAATTTAAAGAGATAAAAGAAAAGGGTCACAGAAGGCTTTTCTTTTAGGTACTCACACCAATACTGGTAAACATTCATGTACGCCCAACTTGCAGGATGAAGTTGCAAAAGAGCAATTATCAAATGCTTTAAGACTTCTATCTCAAAAGGCAATGAAGGGTAGTAGAAGACCTAAGATGGAGAAAGTGCACTCGTAAAAGAGAATGGTGCAATCGCCATACATACTACATATCATTTCATCCTCGATAGAACTCAAGACTCCCTAGTAGGAAGATGGACCGACTTTGGTAAAAGTGCCATCAAGATTTCCTACTTTAGCGAAAGTAGAAATGGTAGAAGAGAATACATAATGCACCCAAGAAGATGGAACACTCTTCTAGGATTTATGAGCAGCCTTTTGTGATTTGTTACCCATTATGCACTAACTCTTCTGATGCAGGTAAGTGAAACGCCAAAGAAGAATATAACCGATAAACTGGGAAATGACTCAAAGAAAGTAACATTGACTCTTTGAGGACTATATTCTAGCATGCAAAAGGAAATATACTCTATCAAACATGTTAAATCACTCACACACAACACTCACGTGTTTTGATTCCCAAGAGTCACAATGATGAAACTTTCAAAAAGACATTTGAAGTATAAAGCATTAAATGCACAAATCTCCAAGGGACTGAAACATTTTCTTTTTCTATTCTAAGCATAAAAGAGAGAGTGGTTGGTATCCAAGTTCAGAATAACAAACAGATGTTTTGTCGAGCACAAACATGGACTTGGGGGGCAACTGTTTTGGATCGGCCATATCAACCCCAACCGACCACCCTAAGGGAATAATAATCCTTTCAGAATCTTCTTAGCACATGAGAATTCTCCTCATGGCGCTACCAAATATCTCAACTACATGTGCATCCAACAATTCTCTGCAATTCACTCCTAACAAGCGAGTTTGTTATTTCCTCTCTACTGTATATAAAGAAGGCACCAAATTTAGGTAAAAAGTTTTAAACACAATTTTAATCCACTCCTCTTCCTTACATACAGACTTGAGCGTGAAGGTGTAAAAAACACAAGAAAGGGGGGGGGGGGTGAATTGGATTTTAAATCAAAACTTTTCTTTTAAAAATATTCCCCTTTAATCAAAATATATTTTCCTTCACTCTAGATAATAACAATAATTAAGAATAGTAAGTAAAGAACAAGGTATGTTTATGCTAGTTCACTTGAAAACTATCAAGCTAGTCTAGTACACCTGCGAAGGTAATTTCGCCTCTCTTAATCGATGACTTAATCCAATAATCTAACTGATTATTATAATATACAAGCTACCCGCAAGTGACTAACAACCTCTAAGACACACAAGTCCTAGACTTCTTAAAGATACATACCTAATCGTTCCCTTAAGGAAAATCAAACCTCTAAGACACACTAGTGTCATACCCAAAAAATTTTACCTAAGGTCCCACCTTCATTTGCATTTTTATAAGGCATCAAGGTCACGAGATACGGTTGGTTTTTAAATCCACTCACCTCCGAGCATTGCTTATGCAGAGATTATCAATTATTGTGAATATTTTATTTTATGCATAACTAACTTCTAATCCCATACAAAGGTGTATGTTTGTGTTTCTTTGGTTTCATGTGCAGAGACAAGTCTGAATCAAGAGCGTCGGATGTTGCGCCTCAATCAGGGTTTTTGATCCCTCAAGTGTTCAGTATGGTGAATCACTAATTCTCAAAGGTTACTTAATCAAAGTTTGGCCTAAAATCAAAAACACAGTCAAGATTCCATCATCATTGGTTCACATGTGCATCAATATGTCTTGGAATGTAAGGAAAGACCAAGTTTGCAAGTTGATTCAAAGCACTTTGACCAAAAGTCAACTTTTGCAAGATCAAGTTCAAACGATCATAACTTCTTCGATATTCAAAAATTTTGAATTATTCTTTGAGCGTATGGATCTCCTTGACGCCATCTCCAACTTCTTTTTACAAGTCAAGAGCTGATTATGTGCGGAGGATCGTCAAAAATTTGAATACATTAGAGGTCACTTTGTGATTTTTGACTTTATCTCGAAGTAACTATTGCCCGATTTTCAAGGATCATAACCTCTTCGATTCTCGACATTTTGAGGCGATTCTTTTTGCACGATGTCATAAATAATATCATCTATAAGTTCTCTTCAAGGATAAAGAGTTAATTATGCATAAAAGATCATGAAAATTATTGAATCGTTATAGGTCATTTCTTGACTTTAGAATGTTCTTAACTTCTAATTTTAATTCATGTCGTAATCGTTTCTTCAAAGATGTTGATCCTTATGTTGAGATCATTCATTAAATCCTTATGTTGAGATCATTCATTAAACAAGAGTTTGAGTTTGCAGGTTCATGGATGGTTTGTTATTCGTAATTCAAATCGCTTGCGTTCGAAGGTTAGTGATTATTGGATCGAAGTGTGATTTTGATCAAAACTTTTAAGACATTTGTTTGTTCAATCAAGATTCAATTTCATACAAATGCCTCTTGATTCAAGGTCACTATGTCAAAAAGTTTCAAACATTTGTTATTTCACGTTACTCACCATTCAAAAATTCAAGATCAAACAAGTTCACAAACCTTGTCATTAAAATTCATTCATGATTCATTACCAATGTACATGTAAATATCATGTGGTGTTACATTTTGAAACAAGAAGTCAAGATGATTTACAAGACGTGTTCTGAATCTTATTCTAAATATATTTTGTCAAAGAATCATTCCATCAATTCCCTAGCCTTGCCCAAATCTTTGTTTCATATTGCTCTCCAAAACCATTTGCTTCCACCATATAATCTATCCACAACTTGCCACAAAACAACAAAAATGCACTGCTGCCCAGCCCCTGCATAATGCAAAAAATAGTCGAATTATGACCTTTTTCTTATCCACAATACTTGCGGCAACAAAACAAAGGAAACAGTCCAAAATACTTGCACTATAGCCACAGAAAAATTACAGTTATCAATCCAGATCTTGTATTAATGTGATTAAAAGCCAAAACTGAAAAAAGAAAGGTTAACATAGCAGAAAGACCGTAATAGAGCAAGAGAATTTTGTCCAAAACATACCAGTCCAAGCCTGCCCTAAAGCCTGCACTCAAGATGTCCCAATTTTGCACAAGAATGGAAAGCTTCAGCCTGCATCAAAGAAAGCCAAAGTTGATTCCTCATAACCTCAAAAACTTCCAACTTGATTCCTCATCATAACCTGCACTTACAGCAACTGCACACTTCTTCAACATAAACTACACTAAAACCTCATCACACTTTCTTCCCTACCAACAACATATAGAAACCTGTAAAAAAACAAAACGCAACAATAATACCTCAGTGAGTCAAAGCAAAGAGAAATTAGTAATAAGGTGCTATCAAAACTACTCAAACTTCCTCCAAATTCGAAACCTTGTATCCAACAACAAACCATCCGCAACTCAACCACATAGTTACAAAACCAAATCCAACAATCACAGTAGAAGAAAAGAGAGAAGAAGTGGAAAAAAAAGCATCGAAAGTTTTACCTGAGAGAATTCGAAGACCCGTCAGAGGAACTCCGATCCCATAGCATTCGTTTTTTCTCTATTGATTGCTATTGTTGCCTGCTTGATGTTCTGACCAAAGAGCCTGAATTAAGTTGTTGTTATTATTCATTAACTGAGATGTTGGTTGTTGTTCTCCTATTCTGAATTTGAACTGCTGTTGTTGGTAGAAAAGATGAACAGAGAGTTGTATTGTTGCCGCTGAGTGAACCATGAGAAACCAATGATATTGTTGTTGTTAATGGATCGAGAGAGATAGAGACGATGATGATACGAGACTGAGAGAGATGAGTGACCTTCTTTTTTTCTTTTTTAGAGAAGGAGGAGTATGGATGATATTTAGGGTTTTCCAACCCTTTTGTTTGTTTAAAGCTGGCCGGATCCGGGTCTAGCCTGACCCAGTCTAGGCTCATGTTTTATTATATTTTATAGTTTGCTTCTTTTTTTGTTTTTTTATTTACACCTTGGGCCATTTTCTTTTGGAAGCTCGGTTCTGATTTTGTTTTTTTTGCTTTTACGTACCCACCGAATTCCTACAGCTTACACCCTTTTGTTAACATTTGTTTTATTTTTTTCTTAACTTTTTATTAGTTAGTTTAAATTTAGAATTATTGTATTAATTTTAATTTAGTTTAATTAGTAATACTAGAATGATATTTTAGTTTAGAATTCTTGTAGTAATTATTTTAGTAACTTTAGAATTTTTTTATTTGATTTAGATTTAATTTAATAATATTAGAATTCTTATTTGATTTGGATTTAGTTTAATAACTTTAGAATTCTTATTTGATTTAGATTTAGTTTAATAAATACAGAATTCTTATTTAATTTAGATTTAGTTTAATAACTTTAGAATTTTTATTTGATTTAGATTTAATTTGATAACATTAGAATTTTTATTTGATTTAGATTTAGTTTAATAACTTTAGAATTTTTATTTGATTTAGATTTAATTTGATAACATTAGAATTTTTATTTTATTTAGATTTAGTTTAATAACTTTAGAATTCTTATTTGATTTAGATTTAATTTAATAAATTTAAAATTCTTATTTGATGTAGATTTAGTTTAATAAGTTTAGAATTTCTATTTGATTTAGATTTAATTTGATAACATTAGAATTTTTATTTGATTTAGATTTAGATTAATAACTTTAAAACTTTTATTTGATTTAGATTTAATTTGATAACATTAGAATTTTTATTTTGATTTAGATTTAGTTTAATAACTTTAAAAAATTTATTTGATTTAGATTTAATTTAATAACTTTAGAATTTTTATTTGATTTAAATTTAGTTTAATAACTTTAGAATTTCTATTTGATTTAGATTTAATTTAATAACTTTAAAAATTTTATTTAATTTAAATTTAGTTTAATAACTTTAAAATTTCTATTTGATTTAGATTTAATTTGATAACATTGGAATTTTTATTTCATTTAGATTTAGTTTAATAACTATAAAATTCTTATTTGATTTAGATTTAATTTAATAACTTTAGAATTTTTATTTGATTTAGATTTAGTTTAATAACTTTAAAAATTTTATTTGATTTAGATTTAATTTGATAACTTTAGAATTTCTATTTGATTTAGATTTAGTCTAATAACTTTAGATTTCTTATTTGATTTTGATTTAGTTGAATAACTATAGAATTCTTATTTGATTTAGATTTAATTTAATAACTTTAAAAAATTTATTTGATTTAGATTTAGTTTAATAATTTTAGAATTTTTATTTGGTTTAGATTTAATTTGGTAATATTAGAATTTTTATTTGATTTAGATTTAGTTTAATAACTTTAGAATTCTTATTTGATTTAGATTTAATTTAATAACTTTAGAATTTTTATTTGATTTAGATTTAGTTTAGTAACTTTAGAATTTCTATTTGATTTAGATTTAATTTGATAACATTAGAATTTTTATTTTATTTAGATTTAGTTTAAAAACTTTAGAATTTTTATTTAGTTTAGATTAAATTTAATAACTTTAAATTTTTAATTTAGTTTAGATTTAATTTAATAATTTTTTTTGTTAATCTTAAAATTTGTAGTTAGTTTAGAATTATTTTAGTAATCTTAAATTTTAATTTAATTCAAATAACTTCTTTAGATAATTTGTCAGTTTAATTTAATTTTTTTTAATGTTTTTCTATCATTAATCTGTTTTGTTAGATTTATTTTTTTGTCAATGCTTATATTTTAATGTTCATTTTATTTTGCTTGCTCGTTTTACTCCAAGGATAAGAATCAAATTTGTTGACTTTATGTCATCGAATATATCTAATATGATTGTGCGAAAGTCCCTTCATACCTTTTTTTTAGTTTTGTTAATCTTAAGTTAAATCTCTTTAAAAGCTAAGTTTTTAAACTTACACTTATTTAAGCTAAAACTTCGATACTAGGTCGTCGCATCTTCAAGATCTCATCCCCACACTCATTTAGCAAGCAAACCAATTTTAACAACAACAAAAATAGATATAATTTCAAAAGGTTCTTATAGGATACTATAGATACATAGGGTGCTAGTACCTTCCCTTTGTATAACCAACCCCCGAACCTTTGATCTTTTCAAAATGCATAATTTTAGCTTTAATTTTAGTGTTTCTTTTATTTTGCATATTTATAGGTTTTATTTCGTACTTTTCCCTTTTCCCTTGGAAATAATAAAGTGCAGTGATAACTTTTGCTTATTTGCGAGTCAAGTTAATTAATAGCTTGATCTCTGATTTTCACCGCTACAACTAGTCCTAGACTTCTTAAGGATACAAACTTAACTGGTCCTTTAAGGAAATCAAACAATTGTTTGAATACAAGTTTTATTTACAATAATATTGCTTCTACACAAACTGAATATGTAAACTATTTTAAGAACAATGACTTAAGAATATGAAAGCTATGAACAATGCTTTTGCATGGATATGCGATAAATTAGCTTTAGCTTTCTCTCTTAGTCTAAAGCCTTTATATAGCCAATAAAATAATATATCCATTGAGGGGTACTCTTGGGATTTCCATAAACATTGGCAGCTTGAGCAATCACGTGGAGAACAAGATCGTACAACACATCCATCCTTTCATGGTAGTGGAATGAAATATTGATTGTACCATGTTCTATTTGTACCACGTGAACATTATCTTCTTTCCTTCTTCACTTCAGAGGCTTATGTGAGCATGAGTTTAGAAGCGAGAACATAACATAAGGTCATCAAAACTTCAAGTCTTCAGAGTCTTCAGAATTGTGTCTTCAGAGTCTTCAACACTTGGTCTTTAGAACCCTGTTCTTAGAACCATGGGTCTTTAGAACTTCAAGTCTTCAGAGTCTTTAGAACTTTGTCTATCAGAATCTTTAGCACTTGGTTTTGAGAACTCTTTGTCTTCAGAAATATTAGTCTTCAGCATCTGGACTTAAGTAGAAACTTTTGTCTTCAAATCTTCTGACTAGTTTCTTTAGACTTCATATCAGAGCATACACTTCAGAGTCTTCTGGAGTGTCTTGTTACTATTCATTAGAACTTGTGTAGCGCAAAAGCGGAATTATTTCTCTTCTAATGTCTTCGCTGCACCATCCATCAGAAGCAGAATTTGTTTGTTAAATACTCAAAAATAAAAAAAACATTAGAGTATTAAAATTGTTCATACAAACATACTCATTTGTTATCATCAAAACTCAGAGATAATATTGCAGAACCAAATCTTGTTCTAACAATCTCCCCTTTTTTATGATGACAAAACTCTATATTTTGATGACATAATTTTGTTTATATAATCAGAAAAATAAAAATAAAAAGGTAAGGAATACTTATCCTTTTTATGAAACACCCTCTGAGTCAATGACTTGATGAAGCTTGAATATCCTGACTCTGAACCATTTGAGTAAAAACTCCCCATGGTTTCAATAGATCAAATATTTAGATTTTGAGAGTCTTAACTCTAGATGCCAATGAAAATGAAATCAATTGAAATCTTAAAACTTTAATGTCACTAAGACAACTTCAAGATTCTCAATTCTTAGAGTCTGATTCCATATTTCAATTCTTATAGCAAAGTCTGAAGCCAACAGGTTAGACATAAGTCTTGCATAATGCTTTCAAATCTTTGTCTTTAATCATATTTCTCATTTCCTGAAAAAGAAAACAATTCTAACAAAAATAGAATTTTAACTGGGTTAGAATGTAAGCAGCTCTTTTAAAAAACATTTTCCAGAACTTGATTATTGAAATCAAAATTATGTTTGTTTAATTACTCCCCCTTTTTGTCATAATCAAAAAGGTAATCATGTGTGAAAAACATAAAAAAAACAGAAGAAGATAAGAAGTTTCATTGATTTTTCAAAATGATTACAACAGAAAGAGAAACAACAGACTGGAGACAAACAAGGGAAACTAGATCAACTTCAAACACATCACGACTCTCATCAAATAGAGTATTGCCTCTTATTTTTTGGAGTTTCTGGATGCAAGGATTGATAGCTTGAGATGATTAAATATTATTACCGAAAGATGAATTAGAATACTCTTGCGAAGGAAATAAAAAATACATGTCCCTCGGAAAAACTTTATCAAGATCTTCTCCTCTGGGATGAAGGTTTTTCAACAACAACTCAAACCAGATTTTTGCAAGCGGTTTCAAATGATCTGAATTAAGAGGCTCATATCTAAAGGGAGAATTATGAACTCTTGGAAACACATCAACATTCATGCAGGAGTTGGGTGACAATGGACTCTGAATGACTATATCAATGGAGGAGCGAGTGATGATAATTAGAATACCAAAAATATGAGAATGAATGAAGTTTCCATCAAGACTGATAAAAACATGAAGCCATAAATTCTTCACGAGGTTGGGATAAATAGGACCTCTAAGCATTGTTGCGTACCCATACCATACTTGATTTTCAATAAAATTATTGATGAAACCATCATCAGATACATAGTTGGGTCTTTTCTCTTTGATTACTTCTAGAAGATTTTCATCTCCTTGAAAGGTTCTAACAGCCACAGTGTAATACAGTGGGAGAGCTGACTTAGTTTGCATTTTATCACAAATGTTAGGGATAGTTAGAGTCGCCATCGACTTTTCTTTTATCCAATAAGGAAAGGGTGAAAAGAACAAGAAAGATATCAGCAGATTTTGAGTTTGGGGGATAGATTATGAAAAGGGAAGGTGTTAGTATCCTTTTCATCCATAGTTATCTATGGGATCTTAATCACTTAACTCACTTTTTGAAAACTGCTTTGTGTTGTGTGTTTGAAAATATTTTGAAATTGTCAATGTAAGACTGACTTTGTAATAATTTTTGTATCAGTCCTCCAGAATGCGTACAAAGTGTTTATTCGAAAAATATTTATTGAAAAATGTGATTGTGAGAAATGTTTTTTTTTGTTTTAGAGCAAGCGGTTAGGAATTTTAC